AATCAACTTACAACTCGACAACACAACTCAATTTAACAACTTAAACAACGTACAACTTTTCAACTTATCATCTTAATCAACTTTCAACTTAAACAACATGGTATATCAGCACAACAACTCATCAACATTATTTAACAACACATTTTAACAACACAACATCTCATTTCAACTTTAAACAGCACAATCAACTCAATCATCATAAAATAATATCTTTTCAACACATGGCACGACATACAACTTTATAGCAACATACAACTCTTCTCTAACAACTTAACAATATTATCATCATGCACTTCACAACATATACATGTCCACACATAACATATAACAACTTTATCAACTTAATTTCAACTAACTTCAACAATATCATAGATCAACACACAACTTGTAAACAACTTCACAACTTAACTACAACATGCATCTCATTTACATTCCATTTTCATCATGAAAGCATCACCAACAACATCATTAATAAATATTTAATCATATATTAGCATCACACAATATTTTCATCACATAACACAACTCATACTAATCAACCTAAGAACCCAAATGAGTTCTCAACTCACATACAACCAACAACTTTACAATCTAACTTCCCTTACCTGAAGATTGGCTCAGAATAGCCAAAAACTGAGAAAAAGCGAAATTCCCTTTCCGAAGCTCAACCCGGAACTTCAATCCACCCAAAGCAAGCTTCCTAGTCCAGAGTCTTTCTCTCTAAAACTTCTCTCTAAAAAACTCCATTTTCCTCAACTGCCCACAACCTCTATTTATAGAAGCCTGAACTGGCCAGAACGGCCCGTTCCAAATCCGGAACGACCCGTTCTGGGCTCCTTCATCATGTATAAAATTCACATGCAGAACGGTCCGTTTTAAAACTAGAACAGCCCGTTCTGGCTCGTCTAGAACGACCCGTTTTAAAATCGGAACGGCCCATTCTAAAATCGGAACGGCCCGTTCTGGAGTAGAATTTAACTCACAATGACCATTTTGGAACGACCCGTTCCAGTCCAAACTTCGTAGGCCTATTTAGTAGCTTGGAACGGCTCGTTCCAGTTTGGGAACAGCCCGTTCTAGGCTACTAAATTATCCTTATTTTAGTAGTTTAGAACGACCCGTTCGAATCTGGGAACGCCCCGTTCCAGTCTACTTACTACGTTACATTTTTAATCTGTAATTTGGAAGAAAAAAAAACTCATTTTGAATCATTTACTCAAATATCATTAATGAATGTCAAACAAAATTTACTTATTACTAATCTATCACAAAAAATCTACATATTGTGAGGCTTAATTTGTTATTACCATTAATATTATGGGTGGTCCAAATGCAAGTTAGGTCAACTCTGAACCTGAAGGTTACGCAGATCCCGGCCCGGTTTTTGGTGCTGTTGCTGAAGTCGCCTCGGCCTCGGTTCGAACTGGAGGGTATGTATTAATTGTCTTGTTCTTTTGGTCTTGTTAAGTTGATTTGTGACTTTTGTGCTTTTGCAGGTTGGATGGCTCAACAAGGTGCCGGCGTTTCGTATCGGCAACTCATGAGGAATCGTGCCCCGGTTTGGGCTCCTCTTAAACTGGGGTCAGATGGCCCCCCTTTATCCCACTTGTTTTTTGCAGATGATGTTCTGTTGTTTTCAAAAGCGACACCATCGCACATTAGAATGGTGACTGAGAGTCTACAGAGGTTCTGTAATGCATCTGGACTGAAGGTGAATCTAACCAAGTCTCGGATGATGGCTTCTAAAGGAGTTCCGCGAAGCAGGAAAAACTCTTTAACACAAATTACAAATATCACTTTCACAAATGATTTGGGCAAGTATTTGGGTTTTCAGATGATGCATGGTAGGGTTACAACTCGACATTTTGGTGAGGTTATGACTAAGGTGCAAGGGCGCTTGGCTGCTTGGAAGGGGCGCCTTTTGTCTCGTGTAGGTCGGGTTGCTTTGGTCAATTCTGTGTTGAGTGCTATCCCGGCATACACTATGCAGACACAATGGCTACCTTCTGGGACGTGTGACCAGTTGGATGCACTCAGCCGGAGGTTTATTTGGAGTGGGGAAGGTGCACGAAAACTTCATCTAGTGAAGTGGGAGACCCTGACTCGACCAAGGAAGGAAGGAGGTTTGGGTGTGTGTATAGCGCGAAATAAAAATATTTCGTTGTTGGGTAAGTTGATTTGGGATTTGGTTCATCATACGGACAAATTATGGGTAAGAGTGGTCATGGCAAAATATAGAGACAGAAATGTTGCTAGTTTATTGCAAAGGCCAGGTTCTTATGTTCTAACTTCCTTGCGGAGAGCTTTTGAGGAGCTACGCCCGGGGTTTCGATTCCAGTTGGGTGATGGTGAGGCCAGCTTCTGGTTTGAGAATTGGGCTCATGAAGGGCCACTTGCCAACGAGGTACCTTTTGTTCATTTACATGATTTAACTTTACGTGTGCGGGATGTGTGGCAGGATGGGAGGTGGCATTTAGAACAACTCCACTCTTGGCTGTCAACAGAACTCCAGGCAAGAATCTTTAGCATGCAAATTTGGCTGCATCCCTCCGCGTCGGATGGCTTTGTTTGGGAGGCCTCTACAAACGGTGAATACCTAGCTCGGACAGGGTATCGGTGGTTGTGTGATAGGGATGTGGTCCTTTCCGGTGGGTGGCAATGGATTTGGAGACTTCCATTGTCGGAGTCGATTCGATTTTTCTTATGGCAGGTTTGCCATGATGCTCTTCCCACTGGTGCCTTGTTGGTGCAACGACATGTAACTCCTGATGGGCTTTGTTTGAGGTGTAGAAACGAGGTGGAAAGTATTGCCCATGTGTTGTTTCGCTGTGAACAGGCGGTCAGATTGTGGCGTTTATTACATTTGGAGGAGGCGATTTGTTGGTGGTCGGGATCTTGGCCAAAGTGGCTTCAGTTGTGCTTTCAGAGGTGCCATATCCTTCCACTCATTGCTTGTTGGGTTCTCTGGAAGATGCGTAATGAACGGGTTTTTAATGGGGGTGACTCTTCTGTGTGGGAGGCCTTACGTCGGGTCCATGCTTTGCATACTACCATGGTACGTGCTTTTGCGGTAGCTGATGATCACACATCACATGATGCGGGGCTTACGTGGGTCTCTTGTATCTTTGCTGAGGGGCTACAAACTAGTCTACATGTTGACGCCAGCTTCAATACAGCATCAGGTCAAGCAGGCGTTGGTGGTCTTGCAAGAGACTCCAATGGTAGATGGCTGTGGGGGTTCTTTGGGGCAGTTGAGGCTGTCGATGCCCTTCAAGTGGAATTACTTGCCAGTCTGTGTTATGCGTTTCGGACTCAGCTGTAGCGGTTGAGCTTGTTACGCATGATATCCAAAGTACTCACAGATTGGTAGCTATCCTTTACTCAATTAAGGATCTGGTGCATAAGCCTTGGACGATTCAGTTTGAACATTCATTCCGAGAAGGGAACAAGTGTGTTGATCTATTGGCTAGACGGGGACAAATGCGAGGTCTAGAGGTGGAGGAAATTGTTTCCCCTCCACCTGAGGTGGACGTCTCAGGTGTTAGCGGACATAGCTGGAGGTCCGTTTGTTAGATTGTAATTTTGTTTTGTTTTTCTTTTTGTCGGTACTTTACCAAAAAAAATATTATGGGTGGTCCTACTATATATATATATATATATATATTATAAAGGCTAAAATAATTAATTTTAAATTTGAAAAATTAAAAATAAATTTCACAAAATTAATAACATATTTAAATCATTAATTAATTTTAACCCATATTCCTTTGATCTATCCTTACCTAAATATTATTAATATGTTTAATTCATTAATTCAAATTGACAAATCAATAAAGTCTCATGGAGATTAAACAAAGACTGAATATGCTAACAAAACTATGTATCCCTATATTAACTTCAATCCATGGTATGAAACATAAGAAATATACTCATATCTCACCATTCTTGTCACAAATATAAGTCAGCATAACATTTAATTATATCTAATATAAAAAAATCTCTGTCTAGGACAAATAAAATACTTCACAATTAAAGATACTTCAAAAGTAAAATTGTTAAAGTTCGAGTTCAAAATTAAAACCTACAACAAAAATGATATTTTACCAAAATAGCCACATATTAATGAAAACTAAAAAGGCCTAATATATAACTTGTTTATTTAAAGTAAAAAAGGTTTTTCTCAAATTTTATTTTAGTTTGCCCTCATTATTTCCATGCTAATCATAATGTCTCACCTTTGACATAAACAATATTTATAACATATATAAAGACGATAGTCTGATTTAGTATACACAATTTTTAAACGATTTTATCTTTAAATTTTTAAATAATAAAAAATAATATTAAAAATTAACTATTTTTATAAACCTAAGACTCAAACTCAAGACATTGAAATTTAAAACCAAGTACAACACCAATTAATTCAATAAATATTAATAACTTTTACACATTTTTATTAAATAAAATATAGAAACATGATGTAACTCAATCCCACTATCATTCACTAAAGCAATTTGTAAATGTGATAACTTCCTAATCTCTTCACTAAAAATATATATAATAAACTCACTTAGAAAATATGTGAAATAGTTCTATCATTACAATCTTCTAAGAGCTTAAAACGATTCCCACATATTATCTCAAAAAAAGTTTTTAATCACAAGATTCAGTTGTTTATATAAGAACTAGTTATAATAGCTACAATTCATGTCTATGTTCTCCAATGGTGATCCCAAGTAAAAATCAGTTCACAAACTTCAGAATCTCGCAAGAATTGTCATTGAAGATTCTTAGAGAGTAATTAATCTTTTAATTCCAGTTTTACATTACCAAATCTTCATTGTTACGAAATTGGACTATACTTCCTTCTTTTTCCTGGTAATTAACTTCCTTAAAACAACCGAAACACAATAAATGCATAGCATTAACTAATCTAAATATTGTCAAAATATTAACAAAACATGTAGAAAATAAGATCCATCGAAAGCACACAAACACAATTACAAAATAATGGGCAAAGTTAATTACTAAGCCTTAAAAGTCGTTAAATCAAATTACATGTAAAATGAACAAAATTTCAAACTTAAACATATAGTCTATGTCTAAATTTGTTCCCTGGGCAACTAAACCCAGTAAATTTTATGCACATAGGTCACTGTATATCGGATTTGGTAATGATACTTGGAGCACAACACCTTATCATCTCACTTCAATAAACACTAAAGAGTGATGACATAATCAAAAAGTGAGCCCCCAAGAAGTGGAACCAATTATCTCAAATAATGAAAACTAAGCATATGTAAGATGATTTTTATGTGTGTGTACTATATCAGATTTGAATCGAAAAGGACAATAAACTCATTGGACTATCTAGTAACCAACTAAGGAACATGCAACATTGCGACTGACTATTGACCGGGTGCACCAAATCCAATCTTGCAAGAACCCTAGTCCATTCATCGAGTTCTACCATCATTAAAAATAAATCACATCTGCAAAACAAACCATACACAAAGGTAATCAATGTAGCACCACAGGCAATTTCTAACTACTACCATATGAAAAGCATTGCTGGAAAATGACGAATCTCGTGTCAGAAAACATTTTTTCTAAGACATTGTAAATCTTGATTTGTTCAAAAAGAGCAAATACAAAAGAGCTAGGAGCAGCAAAAGAGACTCGTCCCTTACAGGTAGTGTAATTGAATGACAAATGTTAGATTATGTACTAATCAGAATAGAAATGTGATAACAGTTGGATATGAATTTCATCGGCCCAAAATGCAACACGGTCCTTTTCTACTGCCTGTGTTAGGTTGATATCAAAGAGCTCACAATGTATAGGCATCTCCATATGATAGAACGGATTCTTCAAAACATAGTCCGTGTACAATTCATAGACAAATTTCAATAAATTTTCCATGTGTTGTGCTCCAGACTCACAGACCACAAAAAATTTTGCCCCTGTATGGGAGAAGAGTCTTTTTTGTTAATATCAATATTAGGGGTGAAAAAGGGTGAGGGATCATGCATGCTCATTTTGCCAGGGACATTTAACCAAATATAAAACTGCTAAACTGAAATGATTGTCCCATTAATCTAACAAGTGCAAAACATAAATGCTAAAGCAATGCATGGAAACACTTAAACAGCAGCCAAACATCTAGCACAATGTCGACACTCAAGAATTTGGGTTCATTGATCTAAATCAGAAGGTGCATGAGTGACTCAGAGGAATGGGAAATTTTATATCGTGTATAAAGAGCCAAAAGAGGACATTTCAAGAAAATGAAGTGAGCACTGGGTGTTCAACTGTTCATTATCAGTAAAATGATAGTGCATAGAAAATTACTATAACCACACAGTAAGAAAGAAGGTATGTAATAACAAAATTAATAATAATAACCAAATACAAACAATATTCTGGGTCATGTCACCCAGCAAGTGGTACTGATTGCAACAATAACCCAGCTGGCCTTCCAACTTACTGATTCTGGATTTTTTTTACTCTAAAAAAATCAGGCGTCCATGAAAATAATATACTTTTAATTTTGCAATATATGCAACTCTGCTAAAGTATTAGCTGGGCTTCATCTTATAATGAATTTATCTGTTAAGCCTATTGAAACCTTTTAGATAGAATCAAGATTAAAATCCCAAAGCAATCAAGTTAATAGTTTCAATTTAAATAAGCAATTGTTATGTTACCACTTACCAGTAATTATCTAGAGCTTCTGATATACTGAAACCATCTTTAATTGAAAACTGGCCATACTACAGCTACCTGCAAGCTGCAAGCTGCAAGGCCTTAACCGTGTGTGCATGAAAAATAAAAGCCAGTACATGAGTAAAATGTAAATGATGATAGGCATAAAGCATTCGTTTTATTCAATGAGTAAATTACAAAGCTAATGTGATAATGAGTTCAAGACCAATGTTTAAAAAAACACCTGTCAGCGATTGAAAACAATGAAGATCAAATGTATCTGCTTGGAGAAGTTCAATTCCTAAACAACCTGAAACAGGTGATAACTGCTGAGAGATAGCATTAGCATGCATTGAATGCCATAAACTTGCCACCCGCAAGCTATCATTGGTATCCATTCGTCCAGCAGACCCATAATCTACACGTCAAAAGAATTAACATGATTATAATAGATTCCTCGTAAAAAGAAAAGCTTAACTTGGAAACTATAACTAAAATATTGAAATTGATTTATTTTTTCTTTTAACAAAAGGTTGAAAAGAAAATTAAGCTATCATTGCTATCCATCTTCCAGAGGCCAACATCCTAATTAGCATACAATTCAACATATTTCTTAAATATACTGACAATTCTAACTTCTAAGAAACAAATAACTCCAAATATCACATATATATACTGAGGAACCAGTCGGATGAAATATAAAAGGTATCTTGGTTATTTCTTTAACTGAATTTAGAAGCTGAAGCTCAGTCTAGAAGGTGAACGAAAATATGAGACCTAATTAACAATGCAAGAGTTTTAGTTTATCAAACAGAAAAAGTACATAACAGCAGCAATGCTTTCTGTCATCAATTTCAAGGGCATATGAAATAAATTTCTTAGAAACCCAACAGAAAATAATTTGAAGTTTGAATTTGAGAGCAACAGAGAGAATAAGGACAACCATACCTTATAATAGATCAATCCACCAGACTTACGGATGATGTATAGAGTATAAATTGCTGCCATTCCAAAAACCTTTCCAGAATCTGAAATAAAGCGCTATATGGCTTGTGTTCAACGATAAATGAGCTAGAGTCATTGCATTAGATCCCTTATGTAGTAGTGTTAAATGGGCAAGGATCCTCACATTTTTCTGGACAGATATGGATAAAGAAGTTAGCCTAGGAGTGCTTGATGAGGCTTGATACATGGAATATTGGTACATTGATAGGTAAGTCTTTGGAGGTGGTGGATCCTCACATCATGTCTCCCTGATCTTGACGTTATTACTCAGAAAGTATTGCGCTCCCAATGCAAATGCACCAAGCATCATGATCACATGACAAATTTATCTCGTCATATCCATTCCTTGAACGCCACTCTCTAGAACATGGAATGTCAGCACAGTCAAGCTAAAGCAATCTAGTCTTAACACACCCAAAAGACAAAGTTCAACTTAAAAAAAAAAACAAATTGATTCATGCCTAGACTACCGGTACAAGGAAATTTTTCATGCTTGAAATCATAATTCATCAATCATAAATCTTATGAATCATATTTTTAGAAATTATGAATTTGATCATAAATATTTCTAAGAATGTTTATAAAATTACTACTTAAAAATTAAAATTTTTTAATACATTAAATAAACAAATAAAGATAACATGATATATTTTATTTTTACTAGAAAGTTAGTTTTTCATCTCCTTTATGAAAATAATTTTATAGAAACATTTATGCAAAAATTATTCTAAAAAATGTTAGAATGTCACTTTTTAAATAATAAAGCAAATACCAGAAATTAAATACAATAAAAACTTTTCAAGTACAAAAAGCTCCCTTAAAAGAGCTATCTGCTTGCCTCCAAATCAAGTCGAGTTTATCAAATCAAACAGTTAAGTTTGTTCCACATGACTTGCAATCAGACAATGAGTTGGAGCTGATCCAGTTCAACAAGCTGAACTCAACTCAGAGCATAAAACAAATCACAACTTCTCAAACACTTAACATGGTTCTATTCTTCTTCACTCAGTTAACAACGATGCAAAAACGCACACGAGCATATTTCCAGCATGGTCAAAGCTAAAATTTGGAAGAAACTTTAATCCAACGCGGAATTTACCGATGGAGTGAAAGCCGATATCACTGTTTCCAGGACCCTGTTGGATTCGACTCGCCGAGTGGTTGAAACTGCGAGCTAAAGAAAGTGAAGCAATCGGATGCGAGATTAGGGCAAGGAATTGGGAAATTTTGGAGAGTCCATATTGTGTTGGCGTTTTTTATTTTATATTTTATATTTTATATTTTATTTTGTTAAATCCCAATTTGGCTTGATGGTAAATATTTAAGATATAATGTAAATCCTAGTAATAGTATTGGAGTTAATTGGTGTAGGAAGTACGAATACCTAACCTATGAAATTGAATGGTATACATCCATAACATCATCATTCTCCTATCGACTCAACTCAACTCGCTCTGATGGCTCACCCTGGACTCACCAACTCGCTCTCTCCCAAACTCGTTCCTCTCTGCGCCTGCTCCTGCCGCCCCTTCTCTTCCCAATCCCTACTTCTCCACTCTCACCCTCTCTTCTTCAAACCCAAACCGCTTATCCGGTTCACGCGCCCAACCGCTTCGCCCTTCCTCCTCGCCGCCGTCGGCCAGGCCGAACCGGACCGCCTCCCTCAAACCACCGCCCCCAAGGTCCTCTCCGGAGACCAGGTATCAATCACCAACTTCCAAATTCTCATTCAAATTGAATTCGCTTCGTCTTCGCGCGGTTGACTTGCGTGTCATTACGATTTAACGACCTCGCTCAATAGCGCGTTCAATCTAGGGTTCCAGCTTCCACGTCCGTCGGAAAATGTTGCCTACCTGAGTTCCGAGCCGCTTTTTGGAAACAGAAACTTTAACCTCTTTTTTTTTTTTTTTGGATAAATGAATTTAAGATTTAGGCGGTTTTGATACGTGGAATTGAGGTTAGGTTTTTAATTGAAGAAATAAAGTTTAATACAATGTAGTATGTTGAAAACGCGCGGTGTGTCTTAATTTGGTGGGCGAGAAGAGTGTGAAATTAGATGCGCGAGTTTTTGCTTTTTCCTGGTAAAATGATGAAATTTGAAGTTGGTTGTGTTTTAATTTAATGGTGGAGGCTTGCTGGGGATTTTATTATTCATAAGGTTTGAGGATATTGAGAAATTGTTTTATGTGATGAATGATCATGTTTAGTTTTGTGAGCTAGAAGGATGTGAAATGAGAGCGCGAGTTTGGGGTTTGTTCCTTAAAAATGATGAAATTTGAAGTTGGTTGAGTTTTAATTTAATGGTGGAGGCTTGCAGAGGATATTATTATTTAGAAGGTTTGAAGAAGCGTTGAGATATTGTGTTAGGTGATGGAACAATTGTACATTTTACTTTTTGAGCATGCATGTGGAGTCAACTTGGCCACTGAAGCAGGTGATTGTAATTTGTGAGGAGTTGATGAAAGTTGTTATTTGCCTTTGTAGGAGGAGGATTTGCCCTTGAAATCACAATCGCAGGGTAGTCAGTTTAGGAACCGGGTTGTTTTTGGACTTGGCATTGGGATTTCTGCGGGTGGTATTGTTTTGGCCGGTGGATGGGTCTTCGCCACTGCCCTGGCTGCTGCTGTCTTTACTGGTGCACGAGAATATTTTGAATTGGTTCGGAGTCATGGAATTACTGAAGGAATGACACCACCTCCGCGCTATGTGTCGCGAGTCTGCTCGGTCATTTGTGCATTAATGCCACTGTTTGTCATGTAAGATTGGTTAGTGTGCCTTAATTTTCCATTATCACTTACATCTGGTAGTCTAAAGTCTTTGTATTTATCTAGCCATCATGTGCATTTAACAATGAAAAGTTATTGATATTTATTTTACATGTTGAGGGCAATACTGCAATTTATTCTCTGGTTTTTATGTTACCGTACCTGTTAGAAGGTGATACCTGTCATTTAACTTCCAATATCTTTCATAGCATACATACTCTTTGTGGTCTAATGTTTTAAACTATCATGGAAATGTAAAATTGGTAGATGGAAGGAAAATGAAATTTGCCTTTTGCATATTTAAAGTAAATGGCAAGCTTTTGGAATCCATAACACTAACCCTAACAACCACCCACCCCCCCCCCCCCC